GCTGTACTATTCGAGGGGCTAGAGGGTGTTAAATGGGATATAATAGGGCTCAGTGAAGTTAGGAGGACAGATGAGGCCTATACGGTGCTACAGAATGGGCACGTCCTTTACTACAGGGGCTTGGCAGACAGAAGAGAACTGGGAGTGGGGTTCCTAATTCACAGAAACATAGCTGGCAACATAGAGGAATACTATAGCATTAATGAAAGGGTGGTAGGTATCGTAATTAAACTGAATAAAAGATACAAGATGAAGGTAGTACAGGCTTACGCGCCTACATCCAGCCATGATGACGCTTCAGTTGAAAGCTTCTATGAAGACGTGGAATCGGCAATGAGTAAGGTAAAAACACAGTATACTATAGTGATGGGCGACTTTAATGCAAAGGTAGGGAAGAAGCAGGCTGGAGACAAGGCAGTAGGAGATTATGGCATCGGTACTAGAAACGCCAGAGGAGAGCTACTAGTAGAATTCGCAGAACGAAATAATTTACGGATTTTGAATACCTTCTACCGAAAACGAGAAAACCGCAAGTGGACATGGAGGAGCCCTAATGGCGAAAATAAGAACGAAATAGACTTTATAATGAGTGCACAACCTGGAATCGTGCAGGATGTGGAAGTGATTGGCAAGGTACGATGCAGTGACCATAGAATAGTACGGTCTCGAATTCGCCTAGACTTGAAGAAGGAACGACAAAAACTGATACGCAAGAAGCCAATCAATCAGCTAGCACTGAGAGGGAAAGTACAGGAATTCAGAGTGTCGCTGCAGAACAGGTACTCGGCTCTTAGTGAGGAAACGAACCTTAGCGTAGATACAATGAATGATAATCTAACGAGTATCATTACGGAGTGTGCAGTGGAAGTTGGAGGCAGGGTAGTTAGACAGGACACTAGCAAGCTTTCCCAGGAAACGAAGAACCTAATTAAGAAGCGTCAAATCATGAAAGTGTCAAGTACAACAGACAAAATAGAACTGGCAGAGCTTTCGAAGTTGATTAATAGACGTAAGGTATGCGATGTAAGAAGGTATAACATGGAGAGAATTGAACACGCTCTGAAAAACGGAGGAAGTGTCAAAGCATTGAAGAGGAAACTTTGGATAGGCAAAAGTCGGATGTATGCACTAAGGGACAAAGAAGGCAAAATAACTACCAATATGGATAGGATAGTTAAAATAGCAGAGGAGTTTTACAGAGATCTGTACAGTAGCCGTGACAACCACGGCCTTAATACTATAAGAACTAGCAGTAACCCAGATTACACCCCACCAGTAATAATAGAAGAAGTCAGGAAAGCTTTGGAGAGCATGCAAAGGGGCAAAGCTGCTGGTGAGGATCAGGTAACATCAGATCTGCTGAAAGATGGAGGACAGATTGTGTTAGAAAAACTAGCCACCCTGTTTACGAGGTGTCTCCTGACGGGAAGAGTACCAGAGTCTTGGAAGAACGCTAACATCATCTTAATACATAAGAAAGGAGATGACAAGGACTTGAAGAATTACAGGCCGATCAGCTTGCTCTCTGTAGTATACAAGCTATTTACAAAGGTAATTGCTAACAGAGTAAAGAAAACATTAGAATTCAATCAACCAAAGGAACAAGCAGGATTTCGAACAGGCTACTCAACAATTGACCACATTCATACTATCAATCAGGTAATAGAGAAATGCTCAGAGTATAACCAACCCTTATACATAGCCTTCATAGATTACGAGAAAGCGTTTGATTCAGTAGAAATATCAGCCGTCATGCAAACACTGCGGAATCAGGGCGTAGATGAAGTATATATAAACATTCTGGAAGAAATCTACAGGGGATCAACTGCTACCATAGTGCTTCATAAAGAAAGCAACAGAATACCAATCAAGAAGGGTGTAAGGCAGGGGGACACAATTTCCCCAACGCTATTTACCTCGTGCTTACAGGAGGTTTTCAGAAGCCTAGAATGGGAACAGTTAGGGATAAGAGTCAATGGAGAATACCTTTGTAACCTGCGCTTCGCCGATGACATTGCATTGCTGAGTAACTCGGGGGACGAATTGCAACTCATGATTATGGAGCTAGACAAGGAGAGCAGAAAGGTGGGTCTTAAAATTAATCTGCAGAAAACGAAAGTAATGTACAACAACCTCGGCAAGGAGCAGCGCTTCGAGATAGGTAATAGTGCACTTGAAGTTGTAAAACACTGTCTACTTAGGGCAGGTAATAACCGCAGAGCCGAACCACGAGACTGAAGTAACTAGAAGAATAAGAATGGGGTGGAGCACATTTGGCAAGCACTCTCAAATTATGACAGGTAGTTTGCCACTATCCCTCAAGAGGAAGGTATATAACAGCTGTATCTTGCCGGTACTTAGCTACGGAGCAGAAACCTGGAGACTTACAAAGAGGGTTCAGCTTAAATTGAGGACGACGCAGCGAGCAATGGAAAGAAAAATGGTAGGTGTAACCTTAAGAGACAAGAAGAGAGCAGAGTGGATTAGGGAACAAACGGGGGTTAAGGATATCATAGCTGAAATCAATAAGAAGAAATGGACATGGGCAGGGCATGTAGCGTGTAGACAGGATAACCGCTGGTCATTAAGGGTAACTGACTGGATTCCCAGAGAAGGGAAGCGGGTTAGGGGGAAACAGAAGGTTAGGTGGGCAGATGAGATTAAGAAGTTTGCGGGTATAAATTGGCAGCAGCAAGCACAGGACCGGGTTAACTGGCGGAACATGGGAGAGGCCTTTGTCCTGCAGTGGACGTAGTCAGGCTGATGATGATGATGATATATATATATATATATATATATATATATATATATATTTATGTATATATATATATATATGTATATATATATATATATATATATATATATTTATGTATATATATATATATGTATATATATATAAAAGCAGGGAGGTGTGGTAGAGCAAAGAAACTACCACGCCTCGTGACCTTGAGCACTTTTTTTTCGAATGCAAGAGTTGATGAGACATGGGCTGCCGCAAGTGGCACCAGTGTTGTTTATGACAGGTAGTTTGCCACTATCCCTCAAGAGGAAGGTATATAACAGCTGTATCTTGCCGGTACTTAGCTACGGAGCAGAAACCTGGAGACTTACAAAGAGGGTTCAGCTTAAATTGAGGACGACGCAGCGAGCAATGGAAAGAAAAATGGTAGGTGTAACCTTAAGAGACAAGAAGAGAGCAGAGTGGATTAGGGAACAAACGGGGGTTCGGGGGTAGTTAGACAGGACACTAGCAAGCTTTCCCAGGAAACGGATGTACAACAACCTCGGCAAGGAGCGGGTTAGGGGGAAACAGAAGGTTAGGTGGGCAGATGAGATTAAGAAGTTTGCGGGTATAAATTGGCAGCAGCAAGCACAGGACCGGGTTAACTGGCGGAACATGGGAGAGGCCTTTGTCCTGCAGTGGACGTAGTCAGGCTGATGATGATGATGATGATGATATATATATATATATATATATATATATATAAGGGAAAGAAGTGTATACCTAAGGGCTCGTTTTTCCGTGTTTTAACACAATAATACAATAATAATAATGAGATATAACAGACAGTAATGCCAAGGGATGTATGTATATATATATATATATATATATATATATATATATATATATATATATATATATATATATATATATATATATATATATATATATATATATATATATAAAAGCAGGGAGGGGTGGTAGAGCAAAGAAACTACCACGCCTCGTGACCTTGAGCACTTTTTTTTCGAATGCAAGAGTTGATGATGTCCAGTGCGATCGCGCGCGCACGCGTGAACACGGCTTTCCGCGGCTATCTCGGTAACTTGATTTTTTTTATCACAGATGCACAGACAATTTTTCGCTCACAATTAACGGGACGGACATCGGTGGCGGGTTTTCTGCAACCAAGCTCTTTAACGCTATCGCGTTAAAAGCGCGTGCTTTTCGCGAACGCAGACTGCAAAGATAGCAGTGACCTTCGTTGACCCGGTAACAAGAAGAGAATCGTTCCAGGTAAAGCGCGAGGCCAGCCAAGACGTACGATCCTCTCACCGCCAGATAAGCAAGCACACGCGTGAGCGTCTACTCTGCTCCCTCTCCGTGGGGCAAAGTATGCGTGGGAGACGAGAGCGCACCGCCGCGCGATGTGGCGACGCCACAGAACACCTGCGCGACGCGCACACTGCTGGTAATACTGAAAACACGGTAATTCTCCTCTAGATGCCCGTCAGCAGCGGTAAGTGGCAGATATAAATAGCTTGCCGTTTTGACAGTGAAGGACGTGCTCCTCGGTGGCTCAGTGGTTAACGCCTCGTACTCACAATTCAGGGTACCCAAGTTCGGTTCCGGGCGCCGGAGTCCTTTTCTGGATTTTTCTTTCTTGCATTTTTATATATATAAATACGTATACACATACGGTGAGTGACGCCAATGGCAAAGTCCAGCCGAGAGTGTACATAAAATTGCTATCGCAATAAAACCGTTTTATACGACCTGAACTGAAAGCTCGTTTCAAGAACTGCTCGCTTGTAAACATGCTCACAAGAGTGGGATTATCCCTACACACTCCAGGTATGCACTCACAATGGCAACATTAAACCAAGTAATGTACTTTTCCTGTCCTGCTTGGCTTGTCTTCTGTGTAAACAATGCTGTTTAGCAGCAGGGATGTTTTATTTCAATGCGGCTGCCCCATTACTACGTTGAGAGCGTGCACCTCAATAACTGGCTCCTAGTGCCAAGCGCACAAAACGGAAGAGCAGCACCTGTGTCCATGCTATGCATTCTGTGGGACTTGCTTGCACACAAAAAAGCGTACGCCATGGGTAGGGGACAAAATTTACGACCCTTCCCACACATCTGAAGCAATCGTTTTGCAACAAGCACACACTAGTATTGTAGTTGCATCCACAATAATGAAAACTTATAGTGCAGCCTTAAGGTGCAACATGAGTAAGCAGTTGTAACAAAATAAGTGCCAAAAACAAGCAAAACAGAACACGTATGAAACCAAGACTTTATTTGTCGCTCATTTTGGATAGAGCTAGGTATACTGTGCTGTCAACATAAAAGGTAAAATCTCTGTCCGTGTCCTCCCAGAAGCCATAATTATGCACAACAATGAGATCTTGGCAGGAGTCTTTTAGTGCCTCTGTTAGGAGAGCAAGGAGAGAGAGAGGGAGAAAGAAAAAAAAAGGCAACAAAGGCAAAAAAAAAAAATGGAAGGTCACCGCCTTCGGCGACGATGGCGGCCATGTCGGGAGCTGCTTCGACTTCGGCTGCTGCTGCTGTACCTCACCTTAGCATCAGGAGCCCTGGACCCAAACCAAGCAGAAGTGAAAACGCAAAACTAAAGGAAAACAGCCAAAGAAAACCAGGTCAGTTGTTTGATTACTGCTGCACAAAGTGTTTTCATTACAATGCATTGCAATCGATGTAGTATCAAAATAATACAAAGATGCAAAACACTCAGCTGAGCAAACTAAAAGAATCTTGCCGCTGTTGGTTATATCATGCCATCAAATATCACAACTGCGCTGAAGCCATCTTGGCGACTCTCCAGAATAGACTTATAAGCAGCAATCAGACGGGATGCAGGAGGCAAGGTTACATAGTAGCAACACGTAGTTGTCTAGTTAAAGCGTATTTAGTGAAATGACGAAAAAAAAGGGAAGAACACAAGGCATTATCATTATTTTTTTTCTGTGCCCTCTGCGACACCAGCTTTGACATATTACTGACTGCTGCATAAATTAGGGGAAAGATTAGAGAGTGGTTGAATTTCGTAAGCAGCATTCCCAAGAGCTTTCGTGAAAATGGGAATTTGTTATTTCTTGTAGCCTAGACAATATTTCCATAACCTTTCTATGGTGCACATTATGTTAAGTGATGCTACGAGTGCCAGCGCACACATGTAGTTACAACCAAATTATATTGCTGTACCACTAAGAAACCATAAAAAAAGTTTAAAAGCAGTCAAAATTATGCACAAAAAAGTGGTTGTGAATCTACTCAAATCCACCCACACTATCTGAAGGCTGCACTGGACGCAACGAGGCCCTCACTTCTACAACAGCGGCCTTCTCGCTTACAAGGCTGCATTTCAGTCTTTTATCAGTGTCTAACAGCCCATATCACTCTAATTTGAGAGGAAATACACAACGGCTCGAACATTCAGCAGTGATAGCCAACAAATTGAAATGCATAAGATAAATATAGATTGCATAAACAGCAGTGATAAGCTATTTAAATTGCAATGATACTCTAGTATGAGCAAAATAGAAATGATTAAGGGAATATCTTGTTCTTGTGCCCACCTTGGACGCATTACATGTAAGCCTAAAAAAAAAACACTTAACAGAAGTACACGTCGTAGAATCATATGGCATCCATAAAGTATCATACTGAGCTTTCATCAGTGCTTCAAGCAACTTGAGTCTTGGTCTACTATCTGCATGGCCTACCACCTGTAGCAAATAATACATAACAAATATCTAGTTTACTTTGTGTTTATATTTTTTTCAATAACATTGCATGTTATCATTGCAAAGAACAAAGCTATGCTTAGGAATAGGATAAAGGAAAGAAATAGATAAGCGCAGCTTTTTTTTTGCCTTGTCCTATCAACTAGCCCCCTATCACAGGCTCCATGATTTATCATTGTTTTCTTTTCACTCTGCAAATCAGTAGTGTATGATGCTGCATGCTCATTTCTGTTCATTCGTATGTCTCACCAACTCCTACCTGCATGCCTTAGAAATTGGGGGTTTCAAACCACAACCACAATAGAACTGCTAATTCTTTGAGAGAGGGACAGCAACAGCTCTGAGTGGAGCAATGATTGATTTGTGGGGTTTAACGTCCCAAATCCACGATATGATTATGAGAGACGCCGTAGTGGAGGGCTCCGGAAATTTTGACCACCTGGGGTTCTTTAACGTGCACCCAAATCTGAGCACACGGGCCTACAACATTTCTGCCTCCATCGGAAATGCAGCCGCCGCAGCCGAGATTCAAACCCGCGCCCTGCGTCTGAGTGGAGCAAACGTAGGCCAAGTTGCGCATGTATAGTATGTGTACACATTTATCAGAGCAGGTTAAACATGCATGATTAATATTAGTATTGCTGGGCACCAGCATCACGTGCAGTGCCATCGCTGCATGCCAGGCTGAGGGTGTTTTTTTTTTATTAGGTAGACTGTGCAGGCAAGGCTGCAGCGACAAGAAAGCTACATTTTTTTGAAGTCATTGCATGACGACAGCAGCAAACCGAGTGATGCCTGGTGTCATTTGTGAACTCGCAATTTATTCCAAATAAAAAAGTGCAAGTACAGGCCCCTGCGATAGTCATCTAGCATGCAATAGACAACTTTGGAGGTCACAGAAGCCCAGTAGTATCGCTTTTAGCAACTTACTCTGTAAGAATTATTATTCAGAGCCAGAAAAGGGACCTGCACCGATTCATATTTTTCCCTTCATAATTACGCTTGTGTAAATATTCAGCACTTTGAATATTTGGACAATTATTGTAATATTCAAACTGGCTTTGACTTGAATTTAAATTGCAAATTTAGAAGAATGTGAAATGAATGATGCATAAGGTTGAAAGCTGGGCTAGTTGGTGACCGTAAGGTTCTTTTTTACATGGACAGCAGTGACAACTCTTGCCCTCTCCTCGCTTGAGGAGGTGGCAGAGCACTGCTGCCGCTTCGTTTCTCCTCTCTGCCACAGCTGGCTTCGTTGCACTCTTCTAGAAGCGCTGAGTGTTCCATTTGCGGCACACACACGGTAATACATACAAATGGAAAGGGAGGTAACATAAGCGGTACACAACTCCACATACACATACCAATGGAAACACAAGTGAACACGAGCGCTGTTTCACATGGTTCCCTTTATGATGTGATTTTTTATGAAAAGCTGCTTCCACTTTCCTGTGAACCAAAAAGATTCACATGCCTTGTGTCAGTTATAAAAAAATAGATATAGCACAGGTCATGATAAATATACACATTTTTTTTAATAATATGTGAAATTCACTATTCTAATTCAGCTCGACATTATTAGACCAAATCAGTATTCACATTGAATCTAAAATTTAGTGAAGTAATGTAGCAACTGGGCTACTTAGAACATACTCATGATGTCAGCACACGCACACAAAAAAAAAAAGGACACGAGAAAGAAAAACTTGAGACAAGTGCAGTCTCACAACTGAAGGTTTAAAAAAATACTGCCAAGCCTTCTTGGAATGTCGTATCAAAAGCTGGAAGAGCGGCCTTTCAGAGCCTGTTCAAAGCACTGCTTGGGTAACTGCTACAAGCACACTTGCAGAGTACCCACTGCACCAATAGTCATCATAATTTTTGGAGGCATTCACTATGCCATCCTTCGTCATTCTTTGGAGAAGTGTGGTACCTGATACACATTTGCAAGGAATGTTGTGCTATTTTTTTTATTCTGTCACTGACGAAGAATTATGCCCGAAGCTTTCGTAATGGGCCGGAATGATGATTTGATTGATTTGTGGGGTTTAACGTCCCAAAACCACTATATGATTACGAGAGACGCCGTAGTGGAGGGCTCTGGAAATTTTGACCACCTGGGGTTCTTTAACGTGCACCCAAATCCGAGCACACGGGCTTACGACATTTCCGCCTCCATCAGAAATGCAGCCGCCGCAGCCGGGATTTGAACCCGCGACCTGCGGGTCAGCAGCCGAGTACCTAAGCCACTAGACCACCGCTACGGGCCGTAATGGGCCGGAGCATTCGACGACCCACTCGTTACGCAATTCGCATTGTGTGATGCCTGGTTGTTCCTTGCTGTTCTAAAATGCTTTATTACTCATATTAATGAGATTCCTCAAATCAAGCCTGCCTAGGGTCAGTTTGCAACGAAGTTTCAAACACCGGTGTGGCTCTGTGGTAGAATACTGGGCTGGCATGCAGAGAACCCCAGTTCGAATCTCGTTGTGTCCTGGTGTTTTTAGTGGTTAGTGGTTTTAATAGATAGTGGTTAGTGGTGAACAACTACAGCGCACGCAACCCTTGTTGTGATTTCAGAACAGCTTTCACTGTAAAAAAAACCTGCCATACATAAACATAAAAAAAGTACTAACACAATCTTGTCAATCCCGACCAGGCATCTAATCATGCATGCTGTAGATATGAAACCTTAGTATCACTGAGAGCAAACGATGACTGGCTTATGTACCCGTCTTTCCCTTTTATTATTTCAAACGCTTATGCCATTTCATGTGTGCTCGGGTTTCCATGTCTCATCACTACAGCAATTCTATATAGCTCAGCTGCCGGCAATGGAGGGAAAAATGCATGGACAGTGCACCTTTCAAAAAGCTGGCATGGAGACATCGTCCCATCTGCCAAATGTACTTACCACTTTCCTTTAAGTTGAGGAGAGGTTTATTAGTGGTTCAACGACAATATGTTTATCAGAAATGAGGCAGTGTAAAGCGCAGTGCAGCGAGACAGCAGCGATCAGACGCATGCGCCGAGCGTTGGCAATGCTGCTGGATTGAAATGTATTTTCTTCCCAGTCATCCCCGCTGAAAAAGAGCCATCCTGGCGACCAAATATGCCTGAGACAGTGTCTCATAAGACTGGAAACATGTACAATGTCACTTCCATGCCGACCTATGTCATCCGATCGAGCAACTGGCTCGATGGGAAAATTAACCAGAGAAGTTTGCTCGAAGACGTGGTAAGGACCTCTGAACTTTGAAAAAAGCTTCAAGGATAGTACCGGAGTTTGGTATATGACAGATAGGCATACAAGAGACCCTGGGGCGGCACTGGCGATGCTGCTGGATGGAGGCACATCTTTTTCACAATGTTGATACCGTATTTACTCGCATAATGATCACATCTTTTTTCAAAAAAAAAAAAATGATGCCAACTTCGAGGTGTGATCATTATGTGGCATAAATTTTCCCTGAAAAATTATTCTGAGCACCCAAAACACAAAGAAGTCATCAATCAAAATTATGATAGCTATCATGAACATAACGAAAAATAAAAGTAGAGTAAGGCATACCTTTGCAATAAATGCGCGCATTACACAGGAACTCCATGTCTGGCACAATGCCCTTTCATTTTTAACCCCTAACATTCATTCAGAGCCCGAAGCGCCACTGGCGTCAGTGATGTCGCCCCACTATTCTCTGTCGGTACCGGCAGCATCTTCTTCACTGTCCCACGGACAGTCATCTTCCGTTCCGTCGAGCATGTTGCAAATGCCAGCCTTCTTGAAGCTCTTGACAACCACCTGGTTGGAAATGGTACCCCACGCTTTGAGAATCCGTGAGCAGAGTACTTCTACGGATGGTCT